AGTGAGCCTTGAACCTGGTCATTCTGAAATCCTTTTAAGAAAAGGTTTTATTTTTCTGTTTTTTTTTTTAATTTAAAGAAAGAAAGAAAAAAACAAAATGTAAAAAAAGGTAGAATAATACAGAATTCAAAAAAAATTAGCACAAGAAATCGATACATTACATAGTGTCATTTTAGAAATAGTTGCTCAAGTTACAAAATCAAGTCATAAAAAGTGGGTAGACGCTCAGACATTGACATTGAAGATCATTCTGTTCAATGATCCAACAAAAACTTAGTAATATGGTCATCTATCTTACACACTTAAACATACATACAGTTATATCCTTTAGAGTACTTTCCTTCCCTTTCATTTTTATAATATCTATTATACATTTTGGATCTTATTACTCTTTCAGTTTTTACTATCTTTTTACACTAGAGAGACAATGTGATATTTACTAATGTGAGTCTTATTTATTTCACTTATGAGGATGGTCTCAAGTTGCCTCCATTTACCTATGAAAGCCTCAAGATCATCCTTTTTATATCTGGGTAATATTCTACTATATAAAAATACCACATCTTTTTCATCCACTCTGCAGTTGATGAGCGTTTGGGTTGTTTCCAAGATTTAGCTATTGCAAATTATGCTTCTATAAACATGGGTGCACATACATCACTGTGACATCAGTGAAGATGCAGGAGTCAGTGTGAATGAGATTGGCAGACTATTCACAGAAATAATAGCCGGAAATTTCCCAAACATTGGGAAAAATTCTGATGTACAGATGAATGAGGCATATAGAATGCCAAACAGCCACAACCAACACAAATCTACCCCCAGACATATAATAATTAAGATTCCAGTTATATAGCATAAAAGCAGATTACTAAAAGCTGTCAGACAAAAGACACAACTCACCTATCAAGGAAAGCCCATTAGAATCACGGCAGACTTTTCAGTATAAACCTTCAGTTAAGATGAGCTTGGAGTGAAGAAAAGATTTTAAAAGAAAAGCAGCCTGAGTAACAAAAACATCCATGTGTGAAGAATTAAGACCAATTCTGTCTCTTTTACCTCCAAAATTCCTATCAGAAATCATTTGTTCACAGAAAGATATTTAGCGATTGATCTTGATTTTGCATAATAAAGATACTTCCCAAGAAACAGTTGTTGCCATTTCAAAAACCTGTTTGCCACACTTTCTCTCATACTTTGTTTTCCCTTTCCTATAATTACTCACTAAAAATATTTAAGGCAACTAAGTTTATTGTATTTTATATTGTGGGGAATTTGGAAAACCTTCCCCCATGTCAGAAGGCTGGACTTGGGGTCTACCTTGCATGTGTCCTTTCAGTTCCCATCAACAGGTGGTTCTCTGCACAGCTGCAAACAGCTCTCGGGGACTGGTCCTGTCACCCACATAGGGAGAATGTATGTGTCCCTCCTCCGGAGTGGAGTCCTCTGTCATAGCTGTGCCAGGAGCTTTTTAATGGCTGCGCTACTTGTCAAGAGGACTAATTAAGTTATTTCTCTTGAAAGCCTTCCTCTCTTCGAAGCCAAGGGTGTGGCAAGGCATTGTTTTTCAGGGCCTCTCACCATGTACAGATTCTGCTGCAGACAGAAGTGCTCACTATTTCTCCTTGATGGCGAGGTTCTGCAGCATCTCTACACAGTGTTCATGGCCTCAGGGACCTGAGGTGGTGTGGTGCAGAAAGCCTTAATCATTTTCCAGGGCCCAGTGTACTGTGTTCTGCCTAGAAGCTCACTTATCTTCAGGAAGTTTGTAAATTGGATGCTTGTGATTTTTTTCAGAATTATAGTAGAGTTCTTGCTAAGTGAAGTGAGACTAATAACACAATACTGAGGAGTTCGGTTGCTTTTCTGTGTAAAAACTGACCTCTAAAAAGATCAGAGGAAGAAATGGACTCCCCCACTGCTGCATGCTACAGGATAGCAGAAGGGACTGAAGAAAATGGGAGGAGGGGACCTCAAAGGGCCCCCAAGTAGTGAGCCAGATTGAAGAACCAACAGAGGCAACATAGATCCCCAGAGTAGACCAAACAAAAAGGTACCCTGAGGGACTGGTCACCACATCAGCTCATGAGGAGGGTTTTGTTATTGTCTGCAAATGTACTTTTTTAAAAGAATTTCTTGGAGATGAAAAGCTATGGAGAGTGATCAAGCTAGGTTTTTTATTTTTAATGTTTTGGTTTTAAAGAGAATAAGACAAAAAACAGAACAAAGCAAATCAGAACAGAGCAATGCAAGCAACACAGCACTTCACAATAAAAAAACAGGAAAGCAATAATGACTACCAACTTTTTCTTCGAAATAGTTGTCCATATTTTCACACACAATACAATCAAACAAAGCAAAATGCTTAGGTTTTTTTGCACAGTGTTCAAAAGAACCCTTGGTTTCGTTCATTGCATGACAAATAGAATTAGAATTTACGCTAATTGTGTATGAGCTGTGACACGATTTTTAGATGACTTCAAGTTGATGGGAGTGTGAACTTCCAAAGCATTTTGCTTGTCTGTTATCATTATGTTGTATTTCTATCCTCACCCCCTTCATTGGTTTCCAAGTGCAATTAAAAACTTCATCAGAGAGCAATTGCTTTGCCCACTTCCAGTTGATTAACAAAAAACTTGTATTTTGTTGTCAGAAGAATCCAGATAACACAGAACACTAAAAAGAACACGGAAAATTTGGCACAAGTTACCTACATTTTCACCTGCAATGTTTTTATCCCGATACTGACTCAACAATGTGGAACTTTCCCGTGACATCCATGCCCTGGAATCTTTTTTTTAAACCATAGATTTGGTGTTACAAATGTTGCCATTTAAACAGAATCTCACAATTTAAAAATCACTGAAGTGTAGTGAGCCTGTGGCTTCAAGAGCCTGAGCACTCCAGTGTCCAGACATAGCTTTGTGAAACTCAGCTGCTTGCTCGCTGAGTTTCTGCAGCACCTCGTGTAGCTGCCTGATGTCCAGTGTAAAGTTCTGAAGTGTGGTTGTCCCTGAGTGTGTGTGTTGCGGGGTGGCCGGTACTTGCACTTTCTGACAGATGAGGGGAGGCAGGAGCAGTCCTTGTTAGAGACTCCTTCCTCCCACTGTCGGTGCTGCCGAAGAGCCCGAGGATGGAGAGTGTGCTTCGCCAGTCTTGCTGCTATGCTGCTCACAGCACTGGCCTGGTCTTTGGTTGGACCCTGGAGGCAGCTTTCAGCAGGACCAGCAGTTGCCTCCTCTGTGTTCCTTCCTGCTGTGTGTGTTGCTATGGGAGAGCTGACACATGGCCTCACCAGCTCCTGGCCTTGTCACTCAAGAGCCCTGTACACCCCGGTGATGGCCCGGTGCCCTCCCTGCTGCCATCTGTGTCAGCTCTGTGGGAGGAGAAGCTGGTCAGCTGGGGCTGTATGCACCCCTTCTACGTCTGATGGACTTGTACCATCTATGCCAATGTAGCCACTTGGGCCAAGATGCCAGCCCAGGGAGGCAGCATCTCTACTAAATCAGAAATATGTTCCTATGTACGTGGCTCCCTTTTATAGAAGATACTGAGAAATATGCTCTGAGCAGTGTGGGGGTGGGGATCAAGGCAACAAGTTCCCCATGGTCTGGGGTCACTTGTCCAATAAATGGCTGTCCTTGTTTTATGGTTCTGTTTCACTTTTTACTTCTGGATTGAGGACAGACATACCAAAGAAAGGATATGCAAAGGTATTTCTTTTGTTCATGTTAAAAAAAATTCTAGCCTGATGTGATGGTAAATGCTTATAATCCCAGCTACTTGGAAGGCTGAGGCAGCAGGATGACACTCTCAAGGGCGACAAGGGTAACTTAACAAGACCTTGACTTAAACTAAATAACGGGTTGGAAATGTAGCTTCAGCGGTAGAGTGCTTGCCTAGTGTGCACACACCCAAAGCCCTGGGTTCCATCCTCAGCACCACTAAAAGAAGTGCTAGTAAGAGACATTGAGTAATTTATGATAGAACCTAAAATCATATTTGAACATGATCTGTCGATTATGTTCCTCACTCATGAGCAGGAACTTTGAATAATCAAACCTTCCTGTTCTTGCCCAGGAAGACACTTATCTTTAGCAGAATGAAAGAGAAGACTTCCTTTCATTTTCCTGCAAAAGACTTTTACAGACTGAAGAATATGTCATCTTGGAAACAGTGTGTTCTAATAGAAAGATCCAGGACAAGGGTCAGTGGAACCTGGTTTCACTGTCTTGTATGTATTTGTCCATGCCAAAATGCATTCAGTCCCCTGGCTGTGGCCACAGGGCCATGGCAGGGAACGCAGGGATGACTCTCAATAGAACAGTGGGTTGGCACCAGCAAAGTAGGATTAAGTAGCATTTTCCTTGCTTCCCCGATGAGCGAATGAGATGATACTGCTGACAGATAACTTCTCCCAAACCAAAGAGAGTAGAGCACCCTTCACTGGGGCCCCAGACATAAGTGTGAGCTCTTGGCTCTGCTGAGCATCAGCTCCATGGAGGCAGAGACAGAGACAGAGACAGAAAAACAGACAGAGGCAGAGACAGAGAGACACAGACGGATTCATCCATGTGTCCCAAGGTGCCTTGAGTAGTCCTGATATGAAGTAGCTGTGGATCCTGGGGATTAAACTTTTCATTTTAATGTGGTTCAGCTGCTGCCATCCCTACACAGCAACACTGTAAAATTGTTAATTGATTGTTAATCCCTCCCCCACGCACGCACACACATTTTCTTTCTAGTTGGAAAATCCAGCAAATAAGAAGGGTCATATCTCTCTGCTATATTTAAAAGTAATAGCTGTTACAGTTATTTTGGTGTCAGAGATTGAACCCAGGACCTGTGCATGCTAAACGTGTGTTTTACTACTGGGCTGTACCCTTAGCCCTCTAGGCAGTTCAGTTCAAATAGCAGATGGGGAGAAAGCAAACAACAAACCATAAGCCCTAATGCCTATCCTCAGACTCAGGCTTGTGTTTCTTTTTATCTTTCTATAGCTCCGGAAGTTCTGGCCCAGAAACCGTACAGCAAAGCCGTCGACTGCTGGTCCATTGGGGTGATTGCCTACATCTTGTAAGTAGCTTCTCTGAGCCCGCCTCTTTTATTGTGGCAAAAAATCCATAAGATACAACATCATTTCAGCCGTTTGGAGTGCAATTCAGTGGCATTAAGTGTATTCACGACAGTGCACCATTGTCTCCACTATCCAATTCTGAGAGCTTCTTATCATCTCCAATTGAAACTTTGTGCCTATGAAACAATAATACCTCCTCTTTCTGCTCCTGCTCACCTCCATCTACTTGATGCCTCTTGATTCTGACTACCCGAGGCACCTCACGTAAGTGGAACTATACACTACTTGTCCTTTGGTGACTGTAATTTCATTTAGCATAATACCCTCAAAAGGCCATTTGCATCACTATCTCCTTCCTTTATAAGGCTAACACTGTACTTCAGTGCGTGTATATCCCACACGTGGCTCATCCGTTCATCTTTCAGTGAAAGATTTGGGTTGTCTCCACCTTGTGGCAATTAATTCCACAATTATTATGAATGTTGTGAACATAAATGTACGAATATCTGCTGGAATCTCCACTTTCAGTTCTTTGGGTTCTATAAATTTGGGAGTAGAACTGCTGGATCATATGATAATTCTGTGTTTAACTTTTGAGGAACCACTAGCAGTTTCTATGGCAACAGCTCAAATTCACATTCCAGTAGTAACGCACAGGGTTCCAGTTTCTCTGCATACGTGCCAAAGCTTACATTTTCCAATTTTTGATTATACCCATCCTGGTGGGTGGGAATTGATACCTCATTTTGGTCTTGGTTTGCATTTCACTGAGAATCTATTTATGTCTCATCTCAGCTTTGGGGGTGAGATAAACCACTATGAAAATATTAGGATATCTCTAAAATCATAATTAGGAAAAATATAATGGCAATCAAAATTCAGATGTTTCTTTTTTCGTCTCAGATACCTTATCTCCATAATGCAGAAAATGAAGTCCTCAGCCACAGATTTTTTTGCAACTGTTTCCCAATCACTGTGTTTCTTATTGTTATGTTTTGTTTTGCCTGAAGCTATTTTTTAATTGCAATGGGTTTTTTGCAGTTATGAGAGGGTGTTGTACCAACTAGCTCCTGTGACCTTTAGGAGCCGCAAATTCCCCACCTCCTCATCCTCAGGGAAGAGAATGTATTCTGGCAAACAGAACCCATCCCTGCACACAAAGAAAAACTATCAGTGGTTGTAAGAAAGTTCCCACAATATATGCCATCCTGGTCTCCAAGGATGCTGGCAGCAATCCCCCATGTTGCCTTTACTTCATTATCTGGCAAGCAAATTGTCTCTCTATAGCAGCATTCAACTGGGCAGTTTTGGTAGTTTAATGTGGGTTTAGATGACAGCTCCTGTAGATTCTTACCATTATTACAGGGGAATTCTATCCATTATAATATACTTGTCCTGGAGGTCTCCCATTTATGGAAATAGGTGCAGGGTGGATTCCTCTGAGGTCTAAAACTGACACTGTGGTTGTGTGGTACCTTTGCTTTCAAAGCATATTGAGCCCTCCTGCAGCAGTTCCGTCCCTTTGTACAGGAAATGGATTACAGACCCTTTTGAGAATGTAATGAAAGTTGCCATCCCTGTATCCTAGTAAAATCCATTACATGGACACACACATGTCCATAAACATGCACGCATGCACTCAAAATTTGGCATATTATTTTAGGGAGATTCCTGCATAAGCAGATACTAGACATATACCCTGTGTTATTTACCCTGGATCCCTAAATTCGCAACAGAGTCTGATCAGAAGTCTTGCCTCAAGCAGCTTGATTTAAGGCTTTTCTGCAAAGACCAAGGCTAGTGTTAATCATTTAGAGAGATCTTCCCTTGGAATGGGGAAAAATCACTCCTGTTCCGGCTGTCTGGGGGTTATTCTTTTGTATCTGTTTGAGCCTGGAATAACCTCAATTCTAGTCTGTGCTAATGTATGTAGAATCACTTTGGGTTTATATAATACAATTATTTCCTGAACTCTTAGCTTTGAGGGAGGGCAGTGGTACAGGCATAGGAGGTGCATAGTAACCAATCATTTCTTCTAAGTTGAGCAACTTAAAACTAAGTAACACTGTCTTATTCCTCAGCCTGCTCCAACAAGGTACCGTGCAGTGGGTGTTCTGAACAGGTATCTCTGGTGCACGTGCTGGAGCCTGGGAAGTTCAAGGTGCCAGTGTGTTTGGTTCCTAATCAGGGCATCCTTCCTGGCCTGCTGATGGCCACCGTCTGGCTGTGTCCCGCCGTGGCAGATAAAGTGCACAAAGCCAAGCTCTCTAGCGTCTTTTCTAAGCTACTCACTTGCACAGAAAGTGGGACTATGACAGTCCCACTGTCATAGGGGCACTATGTCACTGCCCCTTTTATCCTCAGCACCTGTAACAATGCCTGAAATAGAGACGTCCTCTGGAAAAGCCGGCTGTTGGCAGTGATGGTGATAAGAGTCAAGGCCGCTGGTCCACGTGCACATCTAACTGCAGGAGTTAATGGGTTGAGGGTATCAGTGAGGACAGGGGTGTTCAGGAGACGGGGTTCCACAAAAGATCTGACCTGATGTTTTGATAAAATTAACACAGGCAGAGAAGAGAGACAGACTCTCCTCCCTGCAGAGGAACAGGGGCCTTGGACAGAGGTGCCATGGTACCTGGAATGTTGACGCAGACTGCCGTGACTTGGGTTGGTGTGGATGACACGAACCAGTGTTAAAAAAGGAGAAACTCACAGGCATCTGGCTTGGGCACTAGCTATTCCCCGTGGTTCTCAAAGGCCGTCTGTCCCCATCCATTGTGTTAGATTATGAACAAGGCAGCTGAGCAGGTCAATAGGCAGCCTGCCAGGAAAGACACTCCCCAGGAGATGGCAGCGGGCTCCTCCTTCTTCCCCTCCTCAGGATGGGAAAGAGCTTATGTTTTCAGAGAGCAGCACGATTGCTTTCACTTGATAAAGCCTGTCATACTGAGATACCAGCGAAACGTCCCAGGCAGGCCACAGCACCAAATCTTCACCTCTCCATGCTCCATGGAAACACTTTTCATTCTGCCAGCGCAGATTCTTGTGAAATTGACTCCTTTATCTTCTCTCATTTTTTCTGTTTTCCATCATTGGAAGGAGAAATCATTTTTTTCTGTCAAGGATGTGAATTTTTCAATGGGCCCTCATCCTGCCAAGGATCTTCCTTTGGGGATTAGGATTTGTAAAATACACCTTTGCCCATGTAATTTAAGCTACTGAAAGAGACAGAGGACAGAGCAGTGAAATTGAACGCATAGGCTCATCTCAGCCAAGACAGCACAGGTTCTACAGAGTGGATTTCTCCACTCAAGATGCAGATCAGACTCTCAGGGACCAAACTGTGTTTGTAATAATAAGTTTCTTGTTCCTTCTCACAACTTCAAGGAGATCGGATAGTGCCGATTGCCCTAAATTAAGCTTATAGGTGCAAAGACTGCAGAGAAGCACAGTGCTTTTTGGTAATAACAAAACTGAGAAAGATCATAAGGAAACTCCCTCTGTCACTGAAGCAGGCAGGTAGAGGCTGGACATGTGTTGGTAGATGTGGCCATGACCTCTGACCTCTGCCTGGAAGAAACTCCAGACAAAATACATATGATAATGAAAAACCCTTAGTTTTTCACTGGCCTCCCACACTGTTCGCTTTCTAAGTGACACAATGTTGATTTGCCTGTGTACACAGCTTCATTAGCTTTTGATCCAAGGATTGCTTAATCTGCATACTGAGTCTGTTATTCTGAGACAAAACATGATCCGAGCCCATCGCCATCCCTTTGAAATTTGACAGCTGGCTCTTTATGGAACACATATGTTCCAGGGAGGGACCACAATGCCCAGCATCTGTGGACGAGCCCAGTGCAATCACTGAGCCTGGCCCTAAGCTTAGAGTGTCGCAGCATGGTGCGTCCTGCTGCATCGCAGGAGCACTTGCCACTGCTTGTAGCCAGTGATCATCCTGTGCCCCATGAAGGCTGCAGCATGGGGCAGCCTAGCCTGGGCCCACAGGCTGGGCTTTAGCTTTGGAAATTTAGAAACTACATTGAATCGGTTTACTCATTTTGCTCAGACAATCCCTATGAAAGAGTTCACACTAACCAGACTCAAAGGAAACTTTTAAAAACTAGAGTGTCAAAAAAGAGAGTGTCCATTTACAAAATCACAATGAGATTCATGTCCATGAGATGTTTGGATATGTATGCCAATGAATGACCACTTTTGTCCCCTAAAGGGGATGCTCCTAGAGGAGCCAACTCAAACCAGAAGTTCTCTTGGTGGACAGGACACTGGAGTTGGTGGCTTCTGATGCTTGTGCTAGCCTCCAGGTTACCCTTTGCAACTAAAAAGTTTCTGTCCAACAGCATAGTTCTTCCTCTTTTTGCTCAGAGTGACCGTGACTGGTCACTTCTTCCCCCACACCTTCTCGCTGGAGCGTCAAAGTCTGACCACTAGCCACTGGACATCCTTCTGTCATTCTAGCATCTGTCTTTCTAGTTCAGCATGCATGGACTGTTTGCTGCCATTCCCAGGTTGACAATTGAGTTCATTGGTTGCCTTTCAGTCTGGCTGCTTCCCAGGGCTTTTCGGAAAGGTCCACTGCTCCTCTCTGTCCTCTGCAGTAGTGGGTTTTGTGGACACTAAATGCCATCTGCAGCTTTGAGGCCCTGTAGTTTTAGCGTCAAACACAAGTTCTGCTTGGCTGTATTCTAGCTTTATTGTGGGGCCTGTGACCCTATCTCCCTGCTTTAGGGAAGTGATTAATTGTGTGTGCCATGCCCTCAAAATATTCTGGTTTCAGTTATGTGGTTATGTGCAACCATGAGAGGCACATTTGACAACAATTCAATTGAGGGCCAGAAATTTTGCATTTTACAAGGTGGCGGGAGCAGCTCTCTGCCAGTGACTTTAGACAGGATGGTGTCCACCCATACCTGTGGCCCTGCCTTGTAGAGGCCCTGGAGGAGAGAGGGCACCACCACAGGAAAAGTGGGACAGGAGT